CTTATAAACATGCACATCATTACAACTCATTGACTGTGGCATCTTAGAAAAGATGAATCATTTAAACAGCAGATAAAACACAAGTAGAAGAGAACTATGTGGAAATACTTCTTTGCCACAATGCTTCTTGTTAATTTGGCAATCATTAACCTGTTTGTACCATTAGTTACACATTAATTTCCAAATCTTCATATCAAATGCTCTTAGCCTTTCAGTCCATCATCCCAGACTGGAGGCAACAAATTTAACTCACCAGCATAAGTGTGTATGTCCCAAGAAACTGCTAAAGCTCAAACAAGCCAAAATTACCAAAGTATGCCTTTTCTAAACAACTCCAATTACATTCACTGCCCTGACAATAATCCTTCGGAAAACCGGGAAACACAGAGTAAGATGCAAAGCTTGCAACCTAAACTCTCTCCAGTGGTTAGAGCAATCACTGTGTAGCCAACAACAGCAGCGCTGCAGAAAAGAAGTGCTTAGTAAGGTCATACAAAGGCTTTCAATTAAACAAAAAAACAACCAAGAAGGCATGAAGTCAGGCCAGCCAAGATCGTGCATGATTTTCCCTAAAACTTGTCAGGCAACTTCAGCTGAAAGATATTTATCAACAAATTATGAAAGCACCAAAGGTTCTTATAAGTTTGATCACAATGGTCTTTGCTCTGCTGTTCATCTTCCTAAGTAAACAAAAGCAGGTGTTTGCCCGAGATAATTTTGTTTTTATTTTTTACTAATAAAAAAGATTAGATTGTGGTAAGGAAGGCAAAATCGAAGCAAGGAGCCTGTTTTAGTTATCTAAGGCATAAGGATTTGATTCCACCTGGGAACCAATAATGCAAGCGCATGCAGTTCTAGGTCTACAAGAAAAAAGAACAAACCACAAACCAAACAAAAAACCACAAAACCCACCCCATGGAGCTGTTGGTACATACCTGGACCCCAGCTTCCACCTTTATGCATTGCAAATATCTTCAGTCTTTAAAACTGAGTTATACTGAAGGGAGAAGGCACTAGAGCTTAGGGAATAGATAGAGGTTTTTTATAGCTATTACGTCAACACAAAGAATTGTGTAGAAACAGTGGAAGAATCTAGTGTGCATCATTTTGGATTGGTGTTGCACGGGGCATAGATGCAAAATTCCTGCCAGGCAGACCATCAGCTCTATTGCACATGGTCACAAACACAAATTTTGGACAGGGTGAGAGTGAGGGCAATGTCTCCCTAAGGAGCTTCCAATAATTGTGGTGGCTTACAGGTACGTCCAGATACGCAGCCTGGTCTCAGTGCTACTCTTGCATATTCTTAGCTTCCTGCTGCACGTAGGTACTGTGCTCCGGTCCTAAACACCTGTGCTCAGGCTTATTCTACTCTTAGCACTGGGGAACACGACTCAGATTAAGAACATAAAATAAGGAGCCTAAGAGATCAGTGAGGGAGTTTGGGAAACAAATGAAAAATAGATTATTCCTTTGCTTCATGGCTCCCATCCTCTCTCTTTCTCTGCTCTTCTCTGCTCCAAGGCAGCAGAAACCCATGCAGCACAGTACCAGACAGAGCTCCGCAGGACCTAGAACAGTTGGGGTTTTGCTTGCTTAAGACAGTTTCAGTCCTACACGAGGCTATGCACTCCACTGCAGCCACCAGATCAGTAACTTTCAGAAATACACCCCTCTCTTTAGTTGAGCAGAGCCATGAATTAGCTGTTTCCTATCATTGCAAACCTGCTAAATCTATTTCTTGTGTCTTCCTTAAACCACCTTGCATCCACCAGCTTGACAAAAAACACTTGTGAGTGTGCACGCTCAGAACCTCAGGGAAGCAGAACTGCACCCTCAAAGAAGTCATCAGGGTCTATCACAGCACAAATAATGGCAGCATTACTATAATTTCAAACATTACCTCATATAAAGAAAAAAAAAGAGTAACTACTTGCTACTACGTGAAACGTGAACATCCTTGTGAAAAGTAATTAGCACAGAGTAGCTTGTGATTTGAATCAGAAGAAAACCGCTACCTGTTTGATACGAAGCTACGTCAAGGGATTTAAACATCCTTCAGTCAAAGGTAAGAATAAACTTAATGTTTCATATTGAAGCTTAATTCTGTTTACATTTGATACATTAGGATTACATTATATATTTCAGTTGCATTGTGCACCTTCAGATAACATCTAGGTGTTTTTCTGAACTGTTTTCATTCTTCATGCTACTTTCTTTGTTTTCATTAATTGTGTGTTTGAATTTCTGTCAACTAGAAATACTTTAGTGTCTAGGGTATTTTTTTCTCAAAATACCAATTGCTATTTTAATGAGTGGTAAACCCAAAAGACTGCAATTCCCTTGTGAATGAGGGACTTCAATGTTCAGAAGATTAAAAAGTAATAATAATAAAGAAATCTTACCAACTATTACTTTTCAGTGCTGATCAATTACAAAGCAAAACTTAAGTGTATCACTACAGACTTCTGAAGCAGTAAGAATACAAACAGTTGCATCTTTGGTAAGTTTACCAGTGTTCAGTGAAAGATTCGATCTGATTTTTCAAGTGGAAGGCATTGGCTGCGTCTATTCACTGTCTAGGAAAAGATAAAACTGTCTCTTACCGTCATCAGCCTACTCAAAGTAAATGCTCCTGAAGTACATGCTTTGAGCCTACATAGGCATAAACATCCATGAAGGTACAAGAGAGTGCATTTTGATACAGGCAGACATTGCCAATGTTTGCTTTGGCCTCATTAAAAAGGGAATTCATGTGTCAGGGCTCGTCCTGAAAAGTTTTGAAAAAAAGATTAGAAGCCAACATAAGATAAAATTTTGTTCCAATTTATAACACATACAACACTTATTTAAAAATGAATTAAAAAAGCAGTATATGGTAAGGGCTACTCTTCCAGTTTTAGTTACCACCAGTCCCAAAAACCCAACTTACTTACCTTGCAAGTAGCAACCAGCTACTTGCCATAGATTTCTTATCACATTTTAATTACATGCTAACAGCTGAAACCATCTGATGGAAGGGCTTTTACTACCCCTTCCCCAGCAATTAATTTTTAACATTAAACAAATTGCAACAAGCAGAACTGAGGAGGGGATGGAAAAGGTGTAAGGCCTTCAGAAGCTTGCATATATTCAGTGCACGTCCTCCTCAAAAGCAACAGGGGCATTGTAACAAACACTCTGGTTCTGAGTAGGCAAAGCTGACTGTTCTGAGGTTAAAAGACAAGTGGTATTTTTTTTAGAAAAAGGTCATCAGTATGAGAGAGAAATTAATCTCCAAGGAAATCTATTACAGTATAAATTACTGTACCAGAAAATCTTTGCTTAGATTAACAAGCCAAGTGAATTCTCCAAAGAGTAAATTCACAGTTTGGAAGTGATAATGACTTCTTAAAATGAAACAATTATCTTTTAAATTATATCTCTAGTCAAGCTCAAAATACATCAGTACCGTATTTCTTTCAGTGCATTTTTTGCCTATGCATCTGCCTGATAACTCTTTCAAATTCTCTGCCCTCCCACCCCCAAAATATTAATTAAACTATATTGGACGTATAACTCCCCAACTACTTTGAAGGAACAGTTGAGACTGAACAAGTTGTCTGCTTCACGGTGCTACATCCTTATAAAGCTTTATCTGCTACAGCTGCTGAACAAAACTACTTATTTTCTCTTAATAAAAACAAACACTGTATCTGCACATTAAAACCACTAAAAGAAACCCAAATGAGAGCTAAGGATTTCTCACAGAAGTGCACGTGCTTTGGGCTGCCTGATTACAGATGCACTTGTCTTGGTTCCAACTCAAAAAATTCTGAACATCTTTAAGTTTTCACAGAATCACAGAATCGTAGTAGTTGGAAGGGACCTCAGAGATCATCGAGTCCAACCACAAAAAAACCCAACCAACCAACCAAACAAAAAAACCAAACCACCACCCACCCCCTAAACACACAACAACAACAACCAAACCAAAACCATCACACACACACAATATCCCACCACAAACCAATAATTTTGGGCACTACAGCATGCCCTGAAGAACCATGTCTACACGTTTCTTAAATACCTCCAGGGATGGTGACTCCACCACGTCCCTGGGCAGCCCATTCCAATGCCTGACAACCCTTTCAGTAAAGAAATGTTTCCTAATATCCAACCTGAACCTCCCCTGGCGCAACTTGAAGCCATTACCCCTTGTCCTATCGTCTGTAGTTTGGAAAAAGAGACCGCCTCCTGCCTCTCTACAGCCTCCTTTCAGGTACTTGTACAGAGTGATAAGGTCTCCCCTCAGTCTCCTCTTCCCCAGACTGAACAACCCCAGCTCCCTCAGTTTTGCCCCAATTTAAAAAAAGAAAGAAAAAAAAAAATCATGTTACTAGCATCAAATGTTAACCCCCCTTGTATGCTCTGAACAAGGCTTTGATCCCTTCAGAGAAGGGCAGAGGTATTAGCTAAATTTGACTGTGCAATATGAATGACTTCAAAGCAATGAGTCTGGTCACAGAGCAGTGAGAGGGATGAGAAGCGGAACATCAGCCATCTCTCTTTTTAAAAGGTGTGAGCAGTCAGGCAGGGAGGATTTGATCACTTTTGCTTTATAGTCAATAGAATGATCCAAAATTACGCTTAGACATTAAACAACCATTTCTGTTTCAGAGAGTAAGCCATAATGGAACTAACTGGAATTACCTACAGCTGGTGAAGGTACGCTCGTGCAGGGCTGGATGCGTGGCTGTGTTACTGCAGGCGGTGCAGCAATTGCCAGATGTCAGCTGAGCCACAGTTACTGCTGAGGCACACGTCCTTCCTTATCCCATGGAAAAAGTGAAGGAAAAAACAAAAGTAAGTACCGCCTCTCTCAGTGAAATGAAGTTATGCTCTGGGACTGCAGATCCACTGCCATTTTTGTACTTGGTCTCCAGCAAACCTGTTATTTCACCAGATTCACGGACGCCTTTGTGGCTCACTCCAAAGATCCCATCATTCAAATCAAACAGTTTTCTTTACATTAACAGCATTTTATTTCAAAATATATTAACCATTCTGTGCTTACAAAGGACTGCAGTGTGAATACAATATTAAGTTAAAAGCTTCTTAAACCTGCTACAAAACCCCTTTTTTTATTAGGAAGAGGAACTGGTGCATACAATCAAAATTATTTGAATACCTCTGCAGTCTACACAAGTACTTCTCAATCTTAACTCACACGTTTTCTTCTGCCACAGATGGACACAAGGGTTATATTTTTAATACTATACATGCAAAACCAGGTACTGTACCAAAACCAATTATGGTAACATGAGTTTTGAACACAGTTCCATTCTGAAGATGTATCACAGGTACAGTTACAGACAAAATTTGTGTTGACAATAGAAGTTATTGCTCCAAAGCCCCGCAGGTTCTGGGTAGGAATGCACACTTTAGAACAGCCTGCGCTCTGTAATGCAAAAGATCTACTGTTAGGTTTGAGTAGGGTCCAGCCAGTCTTAGGACCCAATGTCAAAAGTTTCTTTGGATTCGGTTTGGTGAAATTTACCAAAGTGAAAAAAAAAAAACCCACTTCCCTAGTCTTCCAACCAAAACATCAAACACTAGTTAACATGTATATATATAGGTAAACAACTAACTACTAGTGTAAAAAGTTGGTTTCCAACCATCACTGAAGCATAGAAGATTTGTTTTTGAAGGTAACAATCTGAACAAATTGTATGCATGTAGAATATACCAGTGATGACACTGGAAACTGAAAACATTGGTCTACATAGCCAGTTAGTTAAAAGCAACACAAAAGTATTTTTACTGACACTCCTTGAAAAAGCTTCAGTTTTGGGCTGAGACTGGCAGAAAGAAGGCCAAAAAATTGGATTTTGTTTCTCCAACTTTATGGCCTCAAAGTTAATTCTTAAGCTTAATGAACTTTTGGTCTGTGGCTACTTTCTAGCTTTGTGATGCCTCTTACATTCAATCTACACCAATGCCATGAAAACTTAGTTTGCCTTTAGGTCCTCATTGGATCATTGTATACAACAGTTAAGTGGCAAAAAGTAAGGCTAGGAAAAGAAATCAACATTCTTGCTTGAAAACCATCACATTGAAAAGTCTTCGGATACATACACGGATGCTAGAGCACTCACTCTGCCTCTTAGCTTGCAAATGCATCTTGCTGCAAGTAAACATGCCCCACTTCCAACTCAAAGCTAGCTTTGGTGTCGCTACATAGTGTTACAGTCAAAGAATAATCTCTAATTCCAAGCAACATAAATTGTGTTTGTCCAGGTCCATCCATGTGCAGAGCACATCAAGGATGCATTTACGTGCCAATTAGCAATTCCTTCCTGAATCGGGCATGCTATTTCAGTGTGGACACTGAAAGTGTGCCCTTCAGGTTCTGGAATGGATCCCAACAGAGGATGAAGCAATACTCTCAGGTACTAAACCAGACTCAAACCAAGGTACCAGATGAGGCGTGGGAGAAGTTAAGAGATGGGGGAACTGAAGAGACATATTTCATGACCTATTAATTTTGGCAGCTCTTTAGTGTATGTGTGCAAATAGTTCCAGGAACAGTAATCTCTTCGCAATTGGTTACTAGATGGAAGAACAGCTTTTCCCAATTTTATATTAACTACAACAAAACAGTTCTAGTCACCCTATCAGTATTTGCTTGGTTTTTCCCTGATGTTTATCAAGTAAACATTAATTCTAGAAAATGTTGCTTGTTTTCACTATATACAGGTACTATTTTGTTCTCAGATATCTTTAAAAAGAAAAGATAAGACAAAATCTCAGTTGAAGTCTGAATAGTACAGACACTGCTCATATTCATATAGTGCTGTATATCAATATATACATTTAGAAATCCAATGTAGAATCCCTGAATACTCTTGTCACTTCTGGCACTGTTTCTGGTTTCAAAATACCAAATTAATTTTCCACCTTGCAATTTTTTTTATTTATTTCCAATTTTAGCACTTGAAAGCAATTTTGGAGAGTTTTACCATAAAGCATAAGATATTTTCCTAAAAGTGAAAGACGAACAGTATCAGGTTAAAAATCAAGCCTCCCTAACACTTGTTAAGAATTTTAGGAAATTCTAGCTTTGTAGAAATAGAAATAAGAAGGGAATTTCTAAAGCACGCTTCACCAAAAAGCATAGGAAATAGCAGTAAGGAGAAACCCTATGAAACATAAGCCAAGATAAGAGTTTATAAAGATGATGCATCCATGGATTTAAGAGATGCCAGCTGTCATCCAATAAAGATTATTTAATTGGCAAACCCATTTTCTCTTGTAAAATTGCAAACTTCAAGGTGAACAACTGCATCTCTTGCAGAATAGTACCTCCATTATTAAATATAATGAATACTAACTCCAATCCCAACAGCTTTCAGCACCTTGTGAAGGAAGTTGTAGCTGCTTCCAGATGTAGTGTCCATAAAGGTGGCATTATCTGTAGTGACAAACTTAAGCCAAAACGATATGAACACAATGTCTGAATAAAGGCAATTGTGGGAGCATCTTCTATCACTGGTGTGAAGCCATAGAGTCTCAGTAGAATAATGGTATTTTCCCATCCTTAGTATATCAGACCCATAGGAAAGGCAGCGCACTCTTTGCAGAATTCTGTCACCAGTACTAGGGATCAGCAGCATAGTAATTCTGCTGCTGCTTTTACTGGGATACAATTTTATCCAGGTTTGTATTTTCAGGCTTTACGAAAAAAACAAAATAGAAATGTTTAACATGGCAGCCACACTCCTATTTCAGAAGTTACACAGGTACCCACAACATAGAATATTGGAGACAGCATCCGATTTTCCCTACACAATGCTTTTTTCTTATTTTATTTAATTAAGTAGATTATGGATTTCCTAACCCAATAATCACTGACAAAACACACCTAACTATATCTTCCTCTCCAAAGTCCTGAAGAGAAGCCACCTAGTTGTTGAAACTAGATGTACCCTAGATGAGCTGGGAATATAAACCATTGCACGTGGAAATACCTGATTGCTGTCTCTATTATCAGATACATGGATACCAACTCAATTTCTGAAAAATGTATATTCTATATATGACTATAATGTTAGTATTTTTTTAATTTTTTGGTTGGTTTTTTTGTTTGTTTGTTTTTAAAAAAAGCAGTCTTTCAAAATAAGTCATTACTGCTCCCAGCTGGAGCAGTAATGGTGCATCTGTGCTGAAAGTCACCATATTGTAGTAAGGCTGGCAAAATGAACGTGTGCCAGATTCTGGCCCAGTGCAGTTTGCTGCTTCATGTATTCAATCAAGCCAATATTTACAGTGACCTGAAATTAACATGCTGGGCTGTGAACTGGCACGCATTCACTTCTGCTAGCTCTGCTACAGCACAGGATGGGGAGGAAGGGCTCACTTAGACCCAGTGGAAGAAACAGTTACCACTAGCCCTTTTGGCACTACGCTGATTTGCAACAAGCCTAATTTGCTAGAAGAGAACGATAAAAAACAAGCACAGTTGTATTTTACTACTACTACAAGCATTCTCTTCTGAATTCTAAATTGTTTTGTACAAACTGGATACTAAATGTACTAAATACAAGTAAATACCTGCTCCTGGAATGACTGTTTACAGTGAAGCTCAAGACCATCAAGTTAGTGCCTACAAGCATTATTAAAAAGATGGTCTCTCCTAAGAAAACTGCAGTTTAATCAGTTTAATGCCACTACAGAAGAGGGCGTCTGAGAAGTTTTGCTTCCCCCTTTTCCTTTTCTTTGGGGAGAGGAATGACACACAAGCCATTTAAAAGCTTATCCCATGGAGCTGCTGCTTGCTTTTGCAGATGAGGCAATATGGTCAGGAACTGCTATGTTACAATGACCAGAAATCAAAATGACCACATGAATGTGAGAAGACTGATTTAAACTAAATGATTCTGAAAAAGGCTGAGTCTTTCTAGAAAAGAATATGGATTTTTAAAAACGCAAGGACAAGTTTTTCTATTTCTACTGGTAATTGCATATTAACAACAAACCAATAATCAAGGTATGCTTTTTCATAGGGTGGTGTTTTGGCCGGTTCTCTTCTTAAGCATGGCCAAATTCAGTGAACACTTCATATTCTAAGAAGGTATTATTGGAGGTTTTGTTTTTTTTCCTTTTCTTTTTGGCAGTATAGTTACTGTACCACTACTGAACCATACAATTCTTTCCTCAATCAGGCATGGCACAGAGCACATGCTCTTTAAGCTACATTTACTGAGAAAGACTGTACTAGTGGTGGTTGTTCATGGCAAGTCTTAGCTGAATTTGAAACAGGAAGCATCAATATAAAGCCTCATTTAAAAGCAGGTCCAACTAACAAGACCACATCACATATGAATTCTCTTCACAAAATGATTTCTCTTCACACTGGGAAAGGAACATTTCAAAATAACCACAGATCTTCTCAGCTGATTTTACTGATATGACATTTTTGAAGATAACTGCATCTGAAATACCATTTTAATCTTCACAGCAAAGATCCTTCTTTGATCTAAGGAAGGTTAAGGGGGAGGGAGAAGAGGAAAAATTAAAAACAAGGAAAAGAATGCTCTATAATGATTCTTTAAAGTGACTATGTTGAGTACCATAGGAATCTGAAAGATTGTCTCAGAAATAACTGGCATAGCAAATGTGGACGATAGAATGTCTTGACTAGTGAGCAAAGAAGACCAATGGAAAACTGGAAATACATGAAAGATGCATATTTCTGGCTAGTAATCTTCTTTAAATGCGGTAACAAGAACACAACATTTCAGTGCAAAATTCTGAATTAAAAAAGTGACATAACAAAGAAGTTTCCCAAGTATCAGAGCAGTCGCATTTGAACTGGTTAGAACATTGCGGGAACACTTGGGGACAGCCTCAGGTTCTTTGTCATCCTCCTCTCCAGCCAGCAACAATTATAAAAATGTGTTTCATTGAAGATTCTATGTGATCCACAAAACCAAGGAAATTAAAACACAGGATTGTTACTCAATTCAAGCAATATATCCTTCCTATTCAGTTAGTTGGAACTGATGTGTAGATCTTTCAGAATTAAAAATATTAAATAGGATGTTTCTGTACTTCAATGAACTTGAGTCAAACCACGAAATTATGCCTGAGTCTGTCCTCCACGTACCTGCAAGTTCGCAAGTGCAAAACCAGCATGTTTGAAACCCCCCACATAAGCATAAAATTTCATCAGTAAAATTGCAGCAGCTAATTTCAAGAATCGGTGGAAAAGGTGATTTGTGTCTTAACAGGCAGCCTGTTTATTGCAAACCTATACCAGGGCTTAGCATCAGAGTACTTTCCAATCACTTTCTATGGCAATGTGGTTTTAGAAACAATGTAAAAACACATGCAACCTCATGAAAAATAGGAGCTTCCCAAATCTATCAGCACTTCTGCAACTCAAGTAAAACAAACGTCTAAGTTACCAAGAGCTGTTTGTACACAAATCTTTGATATCCTTATCCCTAGATAGGAACAGATTTTTCTTCCAACAGTTGCATTACCATCAACAATAAATACAAAGTGCGCCTGTATTTTGTATAACTCATTATCAGTCAAACTCTCAAATAAATTTAAGAGAAGTTACTGAAAGGTGGTTCTTTGGTTAAGCATATGCATCTGCTACTTTGTACCTAGGGCCTCAATGTATTTGTGGAAAAGCTGTTCAAGTATGAAATTTCTACCAAAAAACCCCACTTCCTGTTTATAAAAAGGATCCATTTATACAGATCCATTGTGTCAAAATATTTCAACAATCAATACAAAAGGCCTTAATTGCCACCAAAACTGCAACTTAAGCAAAACTATGTATGGAAGAAAAGCACAAGAGCAGTTTGATGCTGTGACCTAGGCAACACACCATTTCAGGAATTTAAGAACTCTGTTTATTATTAAGGTATATCTTAATAATAAAGATATATATTAGTATATAAGATATATCTTAGTAAGATATTTGGCCAGAGGCTTACGGGGGAAAAAAAACAAACTAAACTAAAACAAAATCCATGCTCTCTCCCCTTCCTCTTTGGAAAAAAAAGTTGAATTTGTTTGCAAAGTTAATTGAACTCAAAAACAGCACTCGAAAACCAACATTTAACAATCCCCATTCAACTTCCTATTACTGGAAGTAGACATGACAATCGTACATTACCTTTGCCTGAAAACACTTGAGGCCTTTGATTAAATGTAGTTGACAAGATGGTTCTACTGGGATGGTGGGTAAACAGCAAAATACTATCAGAGTTTACTGCAAATGAGGGCAAGATTAAACTGTAAACAAGTCCTCATATTTGAATATGAGGAACCACCACATCTAACAATTTATATGTCTACTAATTTCAGAAAGATACTAGAAATACTAGTCTCCAACAACATTAAATTTCAGTGTTTTCAGTATAAGAGGATAAGATTTAGGTGTTATTATAAATTACAGGTGATGGTCAAACCCTCTGAAGAAATACTTCAAGGAGCAGCAAACAATTATATTCTACTTTCGTTTAACCATGAGTGGTTTACACCTTTTTTTGCCACCACATTAACTGATAATAAATATTTTGGAATTAGCTTTCTTTAAAGCTACTACAATTTAATAACACAAATAACCCAATAAATAAATGCCAAGTTAGTCATTTCAGCAGATAAGATAATGACTCCAGTGGATATACCTGCCCTCTTAACCATTCTTTTTATAAAAACAGAAGGTCTTCAAGGTCTGCAACAAGGCAGTTGAACCGCGTGTTAGTATGTAAAGCCATGGGAAGCAAACATTCTTTCTTGAAGAGGCAAAGTGCACAATAATGTAAGGCCAGCAGATGTTCCAGAAGTGGTTTCTCCTAAAACCCAAGCTATGCTTCCCTGTGAGCTGCCCCCAGGCACAGCTGGAGACGGACAGAAGGCCATGGCTGTTGTGAACTCAAGACAGAAGACAGCGATTCTCTCATGTTGAAAACGTGCGGCACAGCACCTTCATCACTCTGCAGCTGTTTTGATCTCCTCGGGACTCTCTCTAGATGACCTGGGGGGCAAGGAAGGAAAATAAAAGCAAGACTCAAATCTGTTGAATAATTACAAATAACTAGTTTCCTACAAATGAAACAGGAAACAAACACACATGCAAACTCTTGTGTGAACTGCGGGAAGCTCTATATACAGCATACACAGAAAGTCTTGGAACATAATTTCTACAAGCCAAAGACTACAGACAGGTCCAATTAGTGGTTTTTCTCCCAAGTATCCATATGAAAGATGACAACATTATTCATGTGAATGCAGTAAAGGATTGTTTCTGACAAGCACAGAATTATCTTTAAGATATACATATAATGAGCTAACCTATGTAATTGAACAAGACAGTAGAGACATTAGAATGGCCACTGTCATTAATAACTTCACAATATGGTTTCCAACTCTAATTAAGTATTCAATTAGGAGTTTATTCATCCCATTCCTTAATTGTACAGCTTAAAGATACATTTCTATATTCCACGTTCAGTAACTTCAATAAACAGATGATTAATCTGTTAAAATAATTAAAAGACCATACTTTTAATTGAATAATGGCATATAATGTTATCTCATTTTTTAAATTCATGTATGTTTATTTATATTTTGCAGTATTGTACACTAACACATAAAAATGCAGTATTTGCAGGCAGGCCTCTAATTAAGGGCAATGAACACTATTAGATATCCATGAATAATAGTTTTACACAGAAAAAAGGATGTTCAATCACCTCCTAGCACAACGGCAACACATAAGTTATAGGATACAAAAGTATTACCAGTGAATTTTCTAAAAGAGCCTTCTGTAAGAAGCTGAGAGACTAAACAAACACTTCCAAGTTTACAAGTTCCAGTGAGTATTTTACTTGACCATAATTTTTATTTCTAGAATCGCTGAATCCTCTCCAAATACTTCAATATGCATGTGTGTGTGTGCACACTCATATATAAAACTCATGCACACGTTCTCTATACCTATGTGTGCATACACTGATCCATGTACAAACATGATGCATAACTTACCGGTAAATCTGTAGTGGCCATGCTGCTTGTGATGGGGTGGGCACTGAATTTGTTGGACTCACCAACATGGCACTATATATGTTGGAAGCAACCACAAGTATACAAAGTAGTATTGGTCCTATGATGGCTCCTTCCAGTCCCAGGTAATATGCTCCACCAGCCACCGCAAGGCCAGTCAGGTAAGGGTGACCACCTCTGGAATTACGGCACAAGCAGAATAAAATTAAGAACAACAAACAACAATACTATCAATTATGAAATGTGAATTAATCATAACATTTTATTTAGTGTAGAAAATGGTACAGGTAGCTATAGATACCCATATTTACACTATAAGTTGCTGTTTGAATGACTGCACACATATTCCAAGCTGTATTCCGCGCTGTATTTGCACAACAGATCAAACAATGTTTTATAGCCTGTAATGCTGGTAATATCCACAATGGAGTAGCTACTTTATAGACAACTGCTGAGGAATGCCTGCAGGAGCCAACGGCAAAAACATTTCCATTTTGAAAATGGAAAGATGATTGATTACAAAGAATGTTTGTACTTTATGGTCAAGAACTGTTAAATTTTAAGACAACTACCAACACGTACTATGAGCGACTCTGAGCAAAGGCATTAATTTACACGACGATAGCAACTTGCACTGAGTCTTTCAAAGAATAATTACCCTATATTCTTTAAATAAACAGTCATGTCCTCTCATTTTGCCACAAAACAACCTCTCAGACAGTGTTTGTAATCATTAGCTTTTAATGTTTTCAGATGAAAAAAACCCCCAGATTTTTATGAACAGATTAATATTTTTTGGAAAGTTGAGGCCAATGGAGCTTTTGATAAGCTGCGGTTTTGATATTATAGCAACAAGTAAGCCATTCCATATTTCTTTTCCATGTTTCAGTTCAGATGCACAACACAAATCCTATCAACAGCATTTACACAAAGCCCGCTCATCATGCTTAATCTTTATAGCTAAAATAATGATGGCAATATGGAATTACATAGGAAAAACTACAGTTGAAACTTGGTACCCGATTTTCAGGAAGCTGTTCTGAATTCCGAGTGTAATGGAGTGAAAATACCAGCTAGTCAGTTTAGAGGTCTGCCAGTTTCTGCCTATTTCATCACCTGATGAAATAGGACCACAGTATAAATTTAATGCATTTGGAAAACCCTGCATAACCTAATTACAGCTATTTCAAATAGATTTAATCTAATCTGCAAGACAGCATGATGCTTACTGTTCTATTTAATGGGAAGAATACAATTTTGCTCCACCATCAGAAAATCTATTCCTGCCACATCTATTTTCTGGACAGTAAACAGAGCCTGCATCCCCTACAGTCAAAAAAATGTATTCTAATAAGTAGAAGAAATATTGGCTGGTTAAATAGCTACTAGCCTTAAATTTATCCACAATTTATTGTTGGAAAAAAGATCGTAATTTGATTATACTTCATCTGTTAGCTTTAATTAATGCAAACTAACTAGTGCCACAGTCTATGAAAATTATTATTAATATTGCGCATATTATCCTTCAGTTCTCTGTGTTCAGTGTAATTATATTAATTTCTAACTTAACACAGAACTGAAACACTAAATATCCTTATTTTACATTAACTCCACTATAATAAAAACCAGCTCAAATGAGGGACTAGTACCAGCATGTACCTAGGTCTGGACGATGAAGTTCTGAATTCAAACAGTTTACTAGGATTGTTTCTGATGATCAAGACCGAAGCAGTGACTAGAGGCATACACCTTTGTATCTATCTTGTAGATGGCTGTAAACATGTCTTGTACATACGGAATTGACAGTTCATATCTTTGCCACCTCTGCTGAACAGCGCTGCTTTATCTCTAATCTAAATTGCATGAAGGGGTTCACTAGATATTTCAGCAGCAGAAACTCTCAGTGGACATTTCAGTTCCACTCCAGATACAACTGCAGATGTTGTCTTTGTCTCCATAGTCTAGAGTTTGTTTCTCTGTGTACAAACTTAAAGCTGAAACCAGAAGACATTTTTCAAGACAATAGGGGCAGCCAAACACCTAGCAAGATTCTTCAAGAGATCTGTGCCAACCACCCACAACAGGAAAACAGCACTGGCTACTGTCTCAATAGGAACCTATCTTCAGTTTCACGATTTCATCTGTGTCAACACATTTAAAGATCATCCCATAATCAATAGATTATTTTTGCACTGGGGTATGGTGACATAACACAAAGGCTGGCTTCAAAAAAAATCCTCAATATTTTCAAAATTTATGCTGAAAAATTAAAGTATTTTTTCCAGGTCCCAAATAAGCTCACAGATCTCGTTTGTTCTGCAGCATCATATGGCATTCAATAATGTAAAAGAAAATGCTACACATCTTCAGTCAATAGCAGATAAATAGCAAAGACAATACTTTAGGAACCAGAACAGTTGATTTTGCTGAGCTTGAGAACAAGTTTAAGACCTCTGAAGTGACAAGTTCATGGAAAAGAAGCCTGGGAAAGTAAAAGCACTTCGGCCAGTAAGACTTCTTACTATGAGGTGGTATCATTACACCTATTCCTGTGCTTGAAGATACTGTTCTGCATGCTTCGGAGAAGTAAGTTTAACTACAGGGAGCAATGATCATTAAGCATTTTTACAACACTAACTTTAAAAAGTCTTTTCTAATGTACTTACCCTGATATATCTGAATAAATTGCTGTGTCTACAAAATAGGTTGGCAAAAGGTGAAAAACCAAGAGCAAAATGGCTTTGCATCCCTGTCCTTGCACAAGCCACAAATCTAGGACTGCAGGGATGGCTGCCCAGTACGTCCCCAGAAATGGCACCGCTCCAAGGATTGCTGCTAATGCTAGAGCACACAGAAGAAGAGGTGAGAAAAAGACCTGAAAACGTTTTTCACAAATATATCTACTATTAAATTCTGACACTTTTGCCACACCAGTAGTCCCACTTCTATCAGCTGTGGTAAATAAGACACTGAAGAAGTGCCTTATGTGGATTTGGTGTTTTATTGCTGTGGTTGAGGAAAAAAAAAAGAGATGCTATACATACAAAAAAGCTTCACCAACTGTGACTCAAAGAGTTACTTCCAAAAGAGGCACCAATTCAGAAAAAAATAAAGTTATATCAATCACGCACATTTCAAACTCCTACATAACTACAAATTAGCAACTGTGTGCAAGAAAGTATACAAGCAGAGGTCTCACTGTAACTTACTGGATCTCCTGCAATCAACCATAATAAGGCATGCAGTACTGTGAGAAACCAGGCAAATATAACTTATATATTTATAAGTTATATAAAATATAACAAATATAACACAAATATGACTTGTGTATTTCTGTATGCACACGTGTACACACAGGCGCACACCCTTCTGATTATGAAAATACCCATTGTAATCTAAAGTGATGCAGTACTGTTGTCATTCTCATTTAATGCAACAGAAATGAACATAATACAAAAAAAATTAATTTTTTTTCCTCTTTTTTGGTCTCATTAACCTTTTAAGATTTTGCATGTAGCCAAGAGAAAAAGAATTATTATCTTCTAAGTAGGTCTAATGACAACCAATGCCTTTAAGGCAGTTGCACTTTATAATACAGCCATTTCCTATTATATTGCATTTTGCTGCTTTATAGCTTCCCCTTCTGTTCCCTCATACATGAAGGTATAACGTTCATTTTAATTACTATTATTATTATTAGGGAAAGAGAGGCAAAAGAGGAACAGGAGAGAAGATTTTTCAGTGACAACTATTCAGCCATTTCCAAAGCTAAGATAAAAGAATACCAGAAAACCAGAGGCTAGTAAAACAGTCAGGCAACAGTACTGAGGAAAAGAAGCCCCCCTCTATTGTGTATTTTCGTGACATCCCATCTTCCTGCATTTAGGCATCTTGAGAAATCAGCACCTGTCAACTATGGAAGAAAGAAAAGCCAAGGCAGGCAGAATGAAGTTAAAACCTGCAAAGACTTGGACTGAATAGAAGGGAGAAAGAATTACAGACAGCAAAAGAAACAGACAGGACAAATGAAATAGTTGGCAGGGGATGTGTTGTGAAAACAGAAAAAGGCAAGGCTCAGAGGTAAAAGCAATCAGGGACTTCTCTCCACCCTACCCACGGCAATCCTGAAACCCTCCTGGAATAAGTTTTCAGCAGTGCTACATACATTCACAGTTGGAACTAAGTATTTTGAAAATAAGAGTTATGATAAGCTGTACAGTCTTCATAGGATAGTTAGGTGTGTGGTTGTGTAAATTAAATTTGGAAGAATCAATCAATACTAAGAAGTTCTTTGGAACCACAAAGCATATCACAAAAGTATTAACCTTCTCATAGTATTTTCATAGTGGGGTCTGAACAATAAACAGGAAATAAAAATGAGGTTACACAGTGAACAGAAAATAAAGAAAATAATTCCAAATAGCTAGCTACTCATTCAGTTCACACCATATACCGAGTTCATCAATAGATTCAGGTGTTATGATAAAAAAGTAGCCAAACGCTGTAATAAGAAACCGTCTTGAAACATTTGCACAAACCAACCATATTAAGGTTAACTGTACAAATCTAATTCTGATGGTTGCCAGCTTCTGATTTAATGTTGTATAAAAAAAAAAAAAAAACAACAAACTTCCACTAATCTTAACAACATTTAATCCTAGTTGTATATAGTACAATAAATAATTATGTAACATCACCTATAAATAGATTATAGTTGTTCAAATTCTTACCAGATGGTATGAAGACTATGTTAATTCCAAATATAGTGTGAGTCAGCCAAGTGTAGAGTCCATAGAACCCAGCCATTTTGAGAGAAGCATCAAATACACCTCTAAAACAACCAAAGAAACTCTGTTAAATTTTATTGGTGTTAGGATTCTGGGAACTATAAAGCTGCTTTGAAAAACTGCAAAGCCATTAGTGCCACAAATAACACAACTCAAAACATAACACTGAACCCTTTATACGTTTGTTCCTTATGAAAAGAATAAGCATCCATCACATCTGTCATTTAAGGCATTTAGACACAAAAATTCCAGACTCTTCTTTACTGTATAATGGGTTCCGGGGATAAACTCCTTGAAAGAAACCACTCAAGCATCAGACCACATCCTCTATCAAAAATAACCTATGAGAAGCAGTACCATTCTATGCACAAACTACTTTTTCTTTGCCCTTTTCCACTTTTACCTGGTCATACATTTTCTTTACCTGTTTACATTTCTACACCTGTTCGTTCTCACTGGATTAAAACCACTGGTCTGTGAAGTGAAATAGGCTGCTTAAACTCTTACTTTCCTACATACTTACATGACTCAATAACAGCACCTCACATTCATTACTGGATTTTAGCCTCAGTATCTTTATATGCCTAGCTTTTAGCTTGCTTACTAGGTTATGTTACTAAAAACCAAACAGATAGTCTGGTAGTCTAATTCAGTCCTGCTGAATCTTATGTCCAAGATGCTAGCCACAAAGTTCTTCTCTTAAGTGTGACTACAGCCTCATGAGACAGCCAAACAGGCACCAAAGTGCTGCATCATTTTTGCAGCGCTAGTGCACTTACCCATGTGGAGCATTCTGTAACTGAACTGAAAACCTGTACCTTAGGACTACTGTCACAAAAATTATACTCTAAAACTGGAATATTTTGCCATTGTATTACGCCAGTTTTTCACCCTTATTTGAGAGAGGCATGAACTTTCCTGAAAACACTATTCTAGCTTGGATCTAAGCTAAATCATGGATCAAACTATCCCCGAGTTCCTCTCCCCAGAACAGTCCTAACATTTCCATCATTGCAGAAGTGGTGGCACACAGACCCTCCTTGCAAGATAAATGTAAAGTTTGCTGTTAACTTCCCATTTTACATTTCATGTCTCTTGGCAGTTTTGGGAACTCTGGCAGGAGGGCAGAGAGGGCAGGAAGACATGCAGCAGAAATCATGGACCCAGATGATTAGTCAGAAGGTTTCCATTGCACTTTGAAGAACACCACTGTCTGCACAGAAAATGGCCCTCTCTGGAGCCTCTAAGAGCACAGTTTCTTTCCTCTGTTGATTCGATAAAGCCTTCTAGAAAAGAAACCTTCTCTACTATTAAACTACTGGGTAGAATCTTCTCTTCTGAACTACCATCAAGAATTGCAAGACTCAAGTTTTTGCTTCTTTTGGCACTATCCTCATTATTATGCCTATGGACAGTTTGCATATTTTTGCCCTCCTTTCCCACTTAAAGACACGCTTAGATTCCCAAATGACTGCTGAATCAAAATTATCTTATTTTAAATTCACCCACTGGAAATTATGAGTGGTAATAAACCTCACACATGAACACTGTTGTTCAAAATGTGAGATTATCTTCACAGATTAAGTAGGAACAGCTGTTGTCAGCCATTTTCCCCCCAAAAGAGGGAAAGGGAAAATATGGAAAAAAGCAAGCTTTGAGGAATGACCAGAAATAACGAATCAAACCTTTGACAGACAAATATTATGTGGTGTGTGAAGAAAGGGAACGAATATTTACAGATATTTGGCAGCGTCAGTGAAAAGAGCATGAATACTTTGCAGTTTAGATAAACTTCTATGGTATTAAAGTGAGGAATCACAGACCAAAATAGATAGAATCTACAGAATTTGAAGAGTGAAATACTTACCTGTGTTTTAGTCATAAGTAAGCTTCTGATGTAAAAAAATTTGGAAAGGAGAAGACCCCAAAAACCAAAGCCACAGTAAGTATGTTAAATACTGAGCTTGTACAAAAACTCAGTATGTTTTCATACTTCAGCTACTCAAAAGTCTTAATTTTCTGCATTTTCTGTGATGTTCAGTTAATATCTGCTATTTCTGAGCATGTCAAAGGAGTATAATGTTTTTGTAACAAGAATCTTTTTATTAATTGAAATGGATTCTGTCAATCATCAAGCATAAAAAAATCAAATAAAAAGTTTGGAAAAATAACCAATCTATCAACATTTTATTTAAGGATACCTTACAGAGGGCTAAATACCACTTTTACCCAAACATGCACATTATCTATGGTTGGATTTTAAGAATTTAGAACATAAACAACTGCAACAAGGTCTTTGGCAATGGAAGCCTCCAGGCAGCTGGAGAGATGAAGTGTGATCTGTATTGCAATGAACATGAGGGCACAACAAAAAACCCCCATCACTTCTCCTGGTTGCACTAAAGATACATTTGTTCCAACTAAACCCTTATGCTTTTGTCAAACCAACTTCCTCAGCCTTATTTGGTCTCTTAAACCTCAGATGTGTCCCACAGAAATCCCTCCACACTATAAAGAAGGCATCTCACAATTTCTGAAACCCTTCACTGGTGACACAAAGTTTTTAGCTTTTTTTTTTTAATGCAATTTGCCAGGCCATTCCAAAACCAAACCAGAAAGAAAAAAGAACCCCAACATATCCAGAACATTTTGTTAGAAGAAAGCATTAAATCTAAATATTTAACAGCAACTATGAGAATCCAGATTTCAACATGCTATAATTAACTCTTCAAGTAAATCTTTTTCTTATAAATCAAACAGGAACTGTGGCACAAATACATCTCACTTGTCAAAAATATTTTAAAACTGTCCTTGAAGTATGCCCTTATTGTTTCTATAAAGATGTTTTCTGTACTGTAGTATTAATTAACAACATGTTGTGGTTTAACCCCTGGAAGCAACTAGGACCATGCAGCAGCTCACTCACTTGAGCCCCCCATAGGGTAGTGAATAGAACAGTAACATAAGAGGAAAATAACAATAATGGTAAAAGAATATACAAAATAAAGTAATACAACATGGATCACTCTCAGCACCTAGTGAACTGGTTACCCAGCCCAACCTGAGCAGTGGTTGCAGATACCTGCCCCCCGGCCAACCCCCATTTATCTACTGAGCATCCTATCTGTGAAACACCTAGTTTCATTCTCCTCCTTTCCTTCACCTTTCCTTATGTCTGCCTCAATCAGTCAGAAAAAAGCACAGGGGTTCCTACTTTGTGTTGAGCGTGGCCCAGAAGAACTCTAAAGTTCCTGAAGACTCATGTTTGTTATTTCTTTCAGAAAAACTAAGAATCATACCTTAAATTCTCTAGAAATTCATATCCATTTAACTTCAAGGTTATGGCAGCTAAAAAAAAAAATAACGCTGAAAACACAAACCAGAATCTTCATCTTCAGCTACTCTGCATCTGCGATAGCAGATCTCAAAGATGCAGTAGTATGCTAGTGCAAACGCTAAATGAATTTATTACCATCTGTAAAATGCAGACCTTCCTGGTGAAATTATGACAGTAAATTAATTTCATCTCTTAATACATTACTGGCATACATACAGCTTCCTTTTATATACAAGAGTAATTGCATGTTTCAGAAATCAGAAAATCCAATTGCTGCTCATGTCTCACTTTGGCACTGTATCTGGATGAACCGCTTTACCTGCAAGAGCTGTCATCTGCAAATGTATAATTTATGAGCACTTCATGGCAATTTGTTGTAAGGCATACTTAGACATACATATTCCATTTTACTGAGCTTTAAAAAGCATGTAAAATTAAAAAAAAAATTAAATAAAATTAGAGGACATGGGTCATAGTTCACATTATTCCAATTAAAAATAGAAGAAACTTCTGTCAAATTGTCAAATGTTTCTGCATAGCTGGCCTAATATTTTTTTTGTTGTTGTTAAAATTCCTTCTACTTCACTGAAAAGCCAGGGAATTTGCTTATAGATTTCAGAAGGGAAAGTGCCACCTTTTCATTTTATCGGTTTTGTCGTTTGCTTTTTTTTTTTCTTTTACTGATTTCCCATAAAAGGTCTACAGTTTCCCCTTTGCTTCTACTGATGCTTACATGAAATGTATGTCCATCTGAATTCAGGTTCAATTTCACAGAGCCTACAGGTAAGGTCTGTTCACCCCTAGCAGCACAGCAAAATTTAAAAGTTTAAAAAAATTCAACCTAACACTGCAACAACTCCAGTTGAAAGGAAAGAGGCAGAAAAATGAAGACTCCTGTGCAAGTATTGTACTGTATCTTGTTGCAAAATCTTCCTGTACACAGAGCTGACTAATTCAAAACGGTGCCTTAAGAAACTCCAGCTACTCAATTTCTTCTGAGAATACAACCTTTACATCTTAAAAGTAGAGGGTTCAAGTTAAAAAAAAAAAACAACAATGCAATGCATTCCAAACTTCACAGCACAGTTTCATAATTTATTTCAAAACAGGCTAACTCAGAACTGCCACAGGAAAAGTGTCCTCCCATTCCCCAGTTCTCTAGCATTAATTTTTGCCCCAGACCACCCTTCCTGTGTCTACCTGCCAACATAATCTCTTTTATGTGCCACAATGGTTTTTTGCAATGAATTCAGCTAATAATTTTTTTTTGATGGGTTAGTTTTAACTAACTGGCTCAGACCTCTACTCCCTATCCAACTCATAGAGCAGCAGCATAAATAGCTGTGTTCACACCAGGAAAGAAGCCAGTACACTTGTGGCTGGAGGGCAGGAGCTCTTTTTTGCACAGTAGTATTGTCTTATCCCCGCTGGAATTAACAGTCGCTGTCACCATAACTTCAAAACCAAATAACTCATTTTCTTCCTTCAGGCAGTACCAATACCAGTTGCAAAAGACAAGCTACCAGTGACAAAGAACAGCTATTATCTTAAAAAAGACCGAAGTAGTCTTCCTCTATAATGATCCCCCAAATTTCAAGCGATCAACAGGAGAACACCGAAGAATTAAAGGACTCAAAAAAGTCCTTTTGCAAAAAACCTCTTAAGCTGTTCTTTGACTCTTTAAGGGTTCTGTTCTTTCAGGAATAA